CACTAGTACTATATGTTCACTACAACACTAGTACTACGTGTTCACTACAACACTAGTACTGCATGTTCACTACAACACTAGTACTACGTGTTCACTACAACACTAGTACTACGTGTTCACTACAACACTATTACTATATGTTCACTACAACACTAGTACTGCATGTTCACTACAACACTAGTACTACATGTTCACTACAACACTAGTACTGCATGTTCACTACAACACTAGTACTATATGTTCACTACAACACTAGTACTACGTGTTCACTACAACACTAGTACTATATGTTCACTACAACACTAGTACTACATATTCATTACAACACTAGTACTACATGTTCACTACAACACTAGTACTGCATGTTCACTACAACACTAGTACTACGTGTTCACTACAACACTAGTACTACGTGTTACACTACAACACTAGTACTGCATGTTCACTACAACACTAGTACTACGTGTTCAATGTAACACTAGTACTACGTGTTCACTGCAACACTAGTACTACATGTTCACTACAACACTAGTACTATATGTTCACTACAACACTAGTACTGCGTGTTCACTACAACACTAGTACTATATGTTCACTACAACACTAGTACTATATGTTCACTACAACAGTAGTACTATATGTTCACTACAACACTAGTAGTACATGTTCACTACAACACTAGTACTTTATGTTCACTACAACACTAGTAGTACATGTTCACTACAACACTAGTACTATATGTTCACTACAACACTAGTAGTACATGTTCACTACAACACTAGTACTATATGTTCACTACAACACTAGTAGTACATGTTCACTACAACACTAGTACTATATGTTCACTACAACACTAGTACTATATTTTCACTACAACACTAGTAGTACATGTTCTCTACAACACTAGTAGCAGGTAGATCAGTAAAAATTGTGTGAAAATGTTCCTACCCGTCTAAATAGCCTACCAACTGAATATTATATTGTACTGTATACATGCATGATGGACTAAGATCATGTTTTTCAAAAGAAAACAACATGAGTAATTCAAATCAATTGGTTATCCGCTCATCGTCCCCTTCCGCAATGGAGGTCGTTGATAACTACACCGAATTAGAGGGTTTTACTGTTTCATATAAAAGATTCAAGGACACTTGTTTTAAGAACATTGTCCTCTAACTTGGCAGTGGAGCGGAAGGTACCGCGTACCTTGTAAAAATTGGACAAGACGTTTTCGTAGCCAAGATTGGTCTGCCGGACAGTGCTGCTGATGATTTAAAAGATGAAGCTGCCTGTTTGTTATTACTGGACGGTGCTGGAGGTGCACCTGTTTAATTGCACACTGCGCAGAGGAGCGATCGGGGATACTCATGACCTACTGTGGATCCCAATCCTTGATGAAATTTGTTGACGAATGCCATCCCTCACTCGGGGTTTGTTTCAAAATGTTTGTACAAATAGGTGAATGTCTGGAGGAAATCCATTAAAAAGGGATACTCCACAACGATTTGAAAACGGACAATGTAGTTATAGAGAAGTTGGGTGACGACTTTAAAGCTCACATAATAGATTTTGGGCACTCGTCTGAGTTCGGGATAAAAATATACGACGAAAATCCAAATTGTGATGACGAGATGATCAGCCACTTAGCTCCCGAGGTGGAACAGGGCGAGTGCCTTTGCACGCAAGCATCGGATGTATATTCTCTCGGCATTCTGATACAGGATGTTATCAAAATGTATGACGATGTCCCCTCCGTTCTAAAGCAGCTTTTGGAGGAGATGACGCGAAAAAATCCCTCAGAACGGCCCAACCTCATGAAGATAAATCGTCGTTTGGCAATATTAAGCGAGTGTTGGCAGTTTGTAGTGTCCTCGGATTCTACCTCAAAGACTGAAGTCTTAGACGAGGAATCGTCGGATTCTACCTCAAAGACTGAATTCTTAGGGGTGGAGTCGATGGATTCTACCTCAAAGACTGAAGTCTTAGAGGTGGAGTCGATGGATTCTACCTCAAAGACTGAAGTCTTAAAGGAGGAATCGTCGGATTCTACCTCAAAGACTGAAGTCTTAGAAGAGGAGTCGATGGATTCTACCTCAAAGACTGAAGTCTTAGAGGTGGAGTCGATGGATTCTACCTCAAAGACCGAAGTTTTGGAGGAAGAATCGTCGGATTCTTCCTCAAAAACTGAGGTCTTAGAGGAGGAGACGACTAAATTTACCCTGAAGAATAAACTTTGGGGTATTTCGTTGGGCAGAGAGGTCCGGGTTGGGTTGATTTGCCTCCTGTTTTTGGGTATATCTGTTGTTCTGTACGGAATGGTCTCTCTTCGTCTAAAAGAACTCCACGAGTCGTGCGTCATGGACAATACGTGGTTGGTTAAAGAAAATAATGATTATTATCGGTATGGATATGTATTCAATAATTTTATAGAGGGAACACCTTTGTCGTTCCTCCAGGTAACCATACCCCAGCCGGACCTAAAACAATGTGACTATTGGTCTATTGTCTTAAGGCGGTGAAAATTTTGAAAAATAATAAAATATTGGAATTTTTTTTTATTGTTTTTATTTATATCATTTGCATAATATAGTGAAAAGCCACAAATATGTCGTACATGAGTTGTTTACATACAATAATCATTTCTCTTCTTCCAGCTATTTACCTCACTTGTCTCCCTCGATGTTCTTCTCTTTAAATTCCTTCCAATTCTCCTCGTCTCTCAGTCAAACTTTACCAACAACTATTATCAGTATCTTGTTCTCGTGTTGTTTTAAGAAATGATCAGCAGCTGTGTCTATTTAGTCTGTCTTCATTTATGAGAGACAGACCTGACAAATCTTATATATATAGTACTAGCAGAAACACGCTAGGCCACGGTAGGACGCCACCCTCCGGGACGCTCCACATTGTCTCACTGTACTGCATTAGGGACTATCAGCATTCAAACGAATTTCATGCGCTTGATCATGTTCTTGAAAACGCCTTTCTGCTGTTTGCTGTCTGTCAGCATTAAGACGGGATTCCCTTTCCTGATCTGTTTCCTGTGACCGACTGTCCGCTGTTCGCTCTCTGTCTGCATTATCACTACATGTTCACTACAACACTAGTACTGCATGTTCACTACAACACTAGTACTATATGTTCACTACAACACTAGTACTACGTGTTCACTATAACACTAGTACTACGTGTTCACTACATCACTAGTACTATATGTTCACTACAACACTAGTACTACGTGTTCACTACAACACTAGTACTGCATGTTCACTACAACACTAGTACTACGTGTTCACTACAACACTAGTACTACGTGTTCACTACAACACTATTACTATATGTTCACTACAACACTAGTACTGCATGTTCACTACAACACTAGTACTACGTGTTCAATGTAACACTAGTACTACGTGTTCACTGCAATACTAGTACTACATGTTCACTACAACACTAGTACTATATGTTCACTACAACACTAGTACTGTGTGTTCACTACAACACTAGTACTATATGTTCACTACAACACTAGTACTATATGTTCACTACAACAGTAGTACTATATGTTCACTACAACACTAGTAGTACATGTTCACTACAACACTAGTACTATAGTATGTTCACTACTCACTACAACACTAGTAGTACATGTTCACTATAACACTAGTACTATATGTTCACTACAACACTAGTAGTACATGTTCACTACAACACTAGTACTATATTTTCACTACAACACTAGTAGTACATGTTCACTACATCACTAGTACTATACGTTCACTACAACACTAGTGCTACTTGTTCACTACAACACTAGTACTACTTGTTCACTACAACACTAGTACTACGTGTTCACTACAACACTAGTACTACGTGTTCACTACAACACTATTACTATATGTTCACTACAACACTAGTACTATATTTTCACTACAACACTAGTACTACGTGTTGACTGCAACACTAGTACTACGTGTTCACTACATCACTAGTACTATATGTTCACTATAACACTAGTACTGCGTGTTCACTACAACACCAGTAGTACATGTTCACTACAACACTAGTACTATATGTTCACTACAACACTAGTAGTACATGTTCACTACAACACTAGTACTATATGTTCACTACAACACTAGTACATACACTAGTAGTACATGTTCACTACAACACTAGTACATACACTACAACACTAGTAGCATGGTAGATCAGTAAAAATTGTGTGAAAATGTTCCTACCCGTCTAAATAGCCTACCAACTGAATATTATATTGTACTGTATACATGCATGATGGACTAAGATCATGTTTTTCAAAAGAAAACAACATGAGTAATTCAAATCAATTGGTTATCCGCTCATCGTCCCCTTCCGCAATGGAGGTCGTTGATAACTACACCGAATTAGAGGGTTTTACTGTTTCATATAAAAGATTCAAGGACACTTGTTTTAAGAACATTGTCCTCTAACTTGGCAGTGGAGCGGAAGGTACCGCGTACCTTGTAAAAATTGGACAAGACGTTTTCGTAGCCAAGATTGGTCTGCCGGACAGTGCTGTTGATGATTTAAAAGATGAAGCTGCCTGTTTGTTATTACTGGACGGTGCTGGAGGTGCACCTGGTTTAATTGCACACTGCGCAGAGGAGCGATCGGGGATACTCATGACCTACTGTGGATCCCAATCCTTGATGAAATTTGTTGACGAATGCCATCCCTCACTCGGGGTTTGTTTCAAAATGTTTGTACAAATAGGTGAATGTCTGGAGGAAATCCATTAAAAAGGGATACTCCACAACGATTTGAAAACGGACAATGTAGTTATAGAGAAGTTGGGTGACGACTTTAAAGCTCACATAATAGATTTTGGGCACTCGTCTGAGTTCGGGATAAAAATATACGACGAAAATCCAAATTGTGATGACGAGATGATGAGCCACTTAGCTCCCGAGGTGGAACAGGGCGAGTGCCTTTGCACGCAAGCATCGGATGTATATTCTCTCGGCATTCTGATGCAGGACGTTATCAAAATGTATGACGATGTCCCCTCCGTTCTAAAGCAGCTTTTGGAGGAGATGACGCGAAAAAATCCCTCAGAACGGCCCAACCTCATGAAGATAAATCGTCGTTTGGCAATATTAAGCGAGTGTTGGCAGTTTGTAGTGTCCTAGGATTCTACCTCAAAGACTGAAGTCTTAGACGAGGAATCGTCGGATTCTACCTCAAAGACTGAAGTCTTAGGGGTGGAGTCGATGGATTCTACCTCAAAGACTGAAGTCTTAGAGGTGGAGTCGATGGATTCTACCTCAAAGGCCGAAGTTTTGGAGGAAGAATCGTCGGATTCTTCCTCAAAAACTGAGGTCTTAGAGGAGGAATCGTCGGATTCTACCTCAAAGACTGAAGTCTTAGGGGTGGAGACGACTAAATTTACCCTCAAGAATAAACTTTGGGGTATTTCGTTGGGCAGAGAGGTCCGGGTTGGGTTGATTTGCCTCCTGTTTTTGGGTATATCTGTTGTTCTGTACGGAATGGTCTCTCTTCGTCTAAAAGAACTCCACGAGTCGTGCGTCATGGACAATACGTGGTTGGTTAAAGAAAATAATGATTATTATCGGTATGGATATGTATTCAATAATTTTATAGAGGGAACACCTTTGTCGTTCCTCCAGGTAACCATACCCCAGCCGGACCTAAAACAATGTGACTATTGGTCTATTGTCTTAAGGCGGTGAAAATTTTGAAAAATAATAAAATATTGGAATTTTTTTTATTGTTTTTATTTATATCATTTGCATAATATAGTGAAAAGCCACAAATATGTCGTACATGAGTTGTTTACATACAATAATCATTTCTCTTCTTCCAGCTATTTACCTCACTTGTCTCCCTCGATGTTCTTCTCTTTAAATTCCTTCCAATTCTCCTCGTCTCTCAGTCAAACTTTACCAACAACTATTATCAGTATCTTGTTCTCGTGTTGTTTTAAGAAATGATCAGCAGCTGTGTCTATTTAGTCTGTCTTCATTTATGAGAGACAGACCTGACAAATCTTATATATATAGTACTAGCAGAAACACGCTAGGCCACGGTAGGACGCCACCCTCCGGGACGCTCCACATTGTCTCACTGTACTGCATTAGGGACTATCAGCATTCAAACGAATTTCATGCGCTTGATCATGTTCTTGAAAACGCCTTTCTGCTGTTTGCTGTCTGTCAGCATTAAGACGGGATTCCCTTTCCTGATCTGTTTCCTGTGACCGACTGTCCGCTGTTCGCTCTCTGTCTGCATTATCACTACATGTTCACTACAACACTAGTACTGCATGTTCACTACAACACTAGTACTATATGTTCACTACAACACTAGTACTACGTGTTCACTATAACACTAGTACTACGTGTTCACTACATCACTAGTACTATATGTTCACTACAACACTAGTACTACGTGTTCACTACAACACTAGTACTGCATGTTCACTACAACACTAGTACTACGTGTTCACTACAACACTAGTACTACGTGTTCACTACAACACTATTACTATATGTTCACTACAACACTAGTACTGCATGTTCACTACAACACTAGTACTACGTGTTCAATGTAACACTAGTACTACGTGTTCACTGCAATACTAGTACTACATGTTCACTACAACACTAGTACTATATGTTCACTACAACACTAGTACTGCGTGTTCACTACAACACTAGTACTATATGTTCACTACAACACTAGTACTATATGTTCACTACAACAGTAGTACTATATGTTCACTACAACACTAGTAGTACATGTTCACTACAACACTAGTACTTTATGTTCACTACAACACTAGTAGTACATGTTCACTATAACACTAGTACTATATGTTCACTACAACACTAGTAGTACATGTTCACTACAACACTAGTACTATATTTTCACTACAACACTAGTAGTACATGTTCACTACATCACTAGTACTATACGTTCACTACAACACTAGTACTACTTGTTCACTACAACACTAGTACTACTTGTTCACTACAACACTAGTACTACGTGTTCACTACAACACTAGTACTACGTGTTCACTACAACACTATTACTATATGTTCACTACAACACTAGTACTATATTTTCACTACAACACTAGTACTACGTGTTGACTGCAACACTAGTACTACGTGTTCACTACATCACTAGTACTATATGTTCACTATAACACTAGTACTGCGTGTTCACTACAACACCAGTAGTACATGTTCACTACAACACTAGTACTATATGTTCACTACAACACTAGTAAGTACATGTTCACTACAACACTAGTACTATATGTTCACTACAACACTAGTAGTACATGTTCACTACAACACTAGTACTATATGTTCACTACAACACTAGTACTATATTTTCACTACAACACTAGTAGTACATGTTCTCTACAACACTAGTAGCAGGTAGATCAGTAAAAATTGTGTGAAAATGTTCCTACCCGTCTAAATAGCCTACCAACTGAATATTATATTGTACTGTATACATGCATGATGGACTAAGATCATGTTTTTCAAAAGAAAACAACATGAGTAATTCAAATCTATTGGTTATCCGCTCATCGTCCCCTTCCGCAATGGAGGTCGTTGATATTTACACCGAATTAGAGGGTTTTACTGTTTCATATAAAAGATTCAAGGACACTTGTTTTAAGAACATTGTCCTCTAACTTGGCAGTGGAGCGGAAGGTACCGCGTACCTTGTAAAAATTGGACAAGACGTTTTCGTAGCCAAGATTGGTCTGCCGGACAGTGCTGCTGATGATTTAAAAGATGAAGCTGCCTGTTTGTTATTACTGGACGGTGCTGGAGGTGCACCTCGTTTAATTGCACACTGCGCAGAGGAGCGATCGGGGATACTCATGACCTACTGTGGATCCCAATCCTTGATGAAATTTGTTGACGAATGCCATCCCTCACTCGGGGTTTGTTTCAAAATGTTTGTACAAATAGGTGAATGTCTGGAGGAAATCCATTAAAAAGGGATACTCCACAACGATTTGAAAACGGACAATGTAGTTATAGAGAAGTTGGGTGACGACTTTAAAGCTCACATAATAGATTTTGGGCACTCGTCTGAGTTCGGGATAAAAATATACGACGAAAATCCAAATTGTGATGACGAGATGATGAGCCACTTAGCTCCCGAGGTGGAACAGGGCGAGTGCCTTTGCACGCAAGCATCGGATGTATATTCTCTCGGCATTCTGATGCAGGACGTTATCAAAATGTATGACGATGTCCCCTCCGTTCTAAAGCAGCTTTTGGAGGAGATGACGCGAAAAAATCCCTCAGAACGGCCCAACCTCATGAAGATAAATCGTCGTTTGGCAATATTAAGCGAGTGTTGGCAGTTTGTAGTGTCCTAGGATTCTACCTCAAAGACTGAAGTCTTAGACGAGGAATCGTCGGATTCTACCTCAAAGACTGAAGTCTTAGGGGTGGAGTCGATGGATTCTACCTCAAAGACTGAAGTCTTAGAGGTGGAGTCGATGGATTCTACCTCAAAGGCCGAAGTTTTGGAGGAAGAATCGTCGGATTCTTCCTCAAAAACTGAGGTCTTAGAGGAGGAATCGTCGGATTCTACCTCAAAGACTGAAGTCTTAGGGGTGGAGACGACTAAATTTACCCTCAAGAATAAACTTTGGGGTATTTCGTTGGGCAGAGAGGTCCGGGTTGGGTTGATTTGCCTCCTGTTTTTGGTTATATCTGTTGTTCTGTACGGAATGGTCTCTCTTCGTCTAAAAGAACTCCACGAGTCGTGCGTCATGGACAATACGTGGTTGGTTAAAGAAAATAATGATTATTATCGGTATGGATATGTATTCAATAATTTTATAGAGGGAACACCTTTGTCGTTCCTCCAGGTAACCATACCCCAGCCGGACCTAAAACAATGTGACTATTGGTCTATTGTCTTAAGGCGGTGAAAATTTTGAAAAATAATAAAATATTGGAATTTTTTTTATTGTTTTTATTTATATCATTTGCATAATATAGTGAAAAGCCACAAATATGTCGTACATGAGTTGTTTACATACAATAATCATTTCTCTTCTTCCAGCTATTTACCTCACTTGTCTCCCTCGATGTTCTTCTCTTTAAATTCCTTCCAATTCTCCTCGTCTCTCAGTCAAACTTTACCAACAACTATTATCAGTATCTTGTTCTCGTGTTGTTTTAAGAAATGATCAGCAGCTGTGTCTATTTAGTCTGTCTTCATTTATGAGAGACAGACCTGACAAATCTTATATATATAGTACTAGCAGAAACACGCTAGGCCACGGTAGGACGCCACCCTCCGGGACGCTCCACATTGTTTCACTGTACTGCATTAGGGACTATCAGCATTCAAACGAATTTCATGCGCTTGATCATGTTATTGAAAACGCCTTTCTGCTGTTTGCTGTCTGTCAGCATTAAGACGGGATTCCCTTTCCTGATCTGTTTCCTGTGACCGACTGTCCGCTGTTCGCTCTCTGTCTGCATTATCACTACATGTTCACTACAACACTAGTACTGCATGGTCACTACGACACTAGTACTATATCTTCACTACAACACTCGTAATACGTGTTCACTATAACACTAGTACTACGTGTTCACTACATCACTAGTACTATATGTTCACTACAACACTAGTACTACGTGTTCACTACAACACTAGTACTGCATGTTCACTACAACACTAGTACTACGTGTTCACTACAACACTAGTACTACGTGTTCACTACAACACTATTACTATATGTTCACTACAACACTAGTACTGCATGTTCACTACAACACTAGTACTACGTGTTCAATGTAACACTAGTACTACGTGTTCACTGCAACACTAGTACTACATGTTCACTACAACACTAGTACTATATGTTCACTACAACACTAGTACTGCGTGTTCACTACAACACTAGTACTATATGTTCACTACAACACTAGTACTATATGTTCACTACAACAGTAGTACTATATGTTCACTACAACACTAGTAGTACATGTTCACTACAACACTAGTACTTTATGTTCACTACAACACTAGTAGTACATGTTCACTAACACTAGCACTAGTACTACATATGTTTCACTACAACACTAGTACTACTATAGTATCACTCACACACACTAGTAGTACATGTTCACTACAACACTAGTACTGTTCACTACAACACTAGTTTCACTACAACACTAGTACTACTACTCACTAGTTCACTACAACACTAGTACTACGTACTAACACTAGTACTACTGTTCACTACAACACTAGTACTACGCACGTGTTCACTACAACACTAGTATACAGTACTAAACACTAGTACTACGTGTGACAACACTAGTACTACCTACCACTAGTACTATACACTAGTACCTACCAACTGAATATTATATTGTACCGTATATGCATGATGCAGACTAAGATCATGTTTTTCAAAAGAAAACAACATGAGTAATTCAAATCAATTGGTTATCCGCTCATCGTCCCCTTCCGCAATGGAGGTCGTTGATAACTACACCGAATTAGAGGGTTTTACTGTTTCATATAAAAGATTCAAGGACACTTGTTTTAAGAACATTGTCCTCTAACTTGGCAGTGGAGCGGAAGGTACCGCGTACCTCGTAAAAATTGGACAAGACGTTTTCGTAGCCAAGATTGGTCTGCCGGACAGTGCTGTTGATGATTTAAAAGATGAAGCTGCCTGTTTGTTATTACTGGACGGTGCTGGAGGTGCACCTGGTTTAATTGCACACTGCGCAGAGGAGCGATCGGGGATACTCATGACCTACTGTGGATCCCAATCCTTGATGAAATTTGTTGACGAATGCCATCCCTCACTCGGGGTTTGTTTCAAAATGTTTGTACAAATAGGTGAATGTCTGGAGGAAATCCATTAAAAAGGGATACTCCACAACGATTTGAAAACGGACAATGTAGTTATAGAGAAGTTGGGTGACGACTTTAAAGCTCACATAATAGATTTTGGGCACTCGTCTGAGTTCGGGATAAAAATATACGACGAAAATCCAAATTGTGATGACGAGATGATCAGCCACTTAGCTCCCGAGGTGGAACAGGGCGAGTGCCTTTGCACGCAAGCATCGGATGTATATTCTCTCGGCATTCTGATACAGGATGTTATCAAAATGTATGACGATGTCCCCTCCGTTCTAAAGCAGCTTTTGGAGGAGATGACGCGAAAAAATCCCTCAGAACGGCCCAACCTCATGAAGATAAATCGTCGTTTGGCAATATTAAGCGAGTGTTGGCAGTTTGTAGTGTCCTCGATTCTACTCAAAGATCGAAGTCTTAGACGAGACCGCTTGATTCTACCTCAAAGACTGAATCTAGGGGTGAGTCGATGGATTCTACCTCAAAGACTGAAGTCTTAGAGGTGGAGTCGATGGATTCTACCTCAAAGACCGAAGTTTTGGAGGAGGAATCGTCGGATTCTACCTCAAAGACTGAAGTCTTAGGGGTGGAGACGACTAAATTTACCCTCAAGAATAAACTTTGGGGTATTTCCTTGGGCAGAGAGGTCCGGGTTGGGTTGATTTGCCTCCTGTTTTTGGGTATATCTGTTGTTCTGTACGGAATGGTCTCTCTTCGTCTAAAAGAACTCCACGAGTCGTGCGTCATGGACAATACGTGGTTGGTTAAAGAAAATAATGATTATTATCGGTATGGATATGTATTCAATAATTTTATAGAGGGAACACCTTTGTCGTTCCTCCAGGTAACCATACCCCAGCCGGACCTAAAACAATGTGACTATTGGTCTATTGTCTTAAGGCGGTGAAAATTTTGAAAAATAATAAAATATTGGAATTTTTTTTTATTGTTTTTATTTATATCATTTGCATAATATAGTGAAAAGCCACAAATATGTCGTACATGAGTTGTTTACATACAATAATCATTTCTCTTCTTCCAGCTATTTACCTCACTTGTCTCCCTCGATGTTCTTCTCTTTAAATTCCTTCCAATTCTCCTCGTCTCTCAGTCAAACTTTACCAACAACTATTATCAGTATCTTGTTCTCGTGTTGTTTTAAGAAATGATCAGCAGCTGTGTCTATTTAGTCTGTCTTCATTTATGAGAGACAGACCTGACAAATCTATATATAGTAATTAGCAGAAACATCGCTAGGTCATTTAGGACGCCACCTTCGGGACGCTCCACATTGTCTCACTGTACTGCATTAGGGACTATCAGCATTCAAAACGAAATTTCATGCGCTTGATCATGTTCTTGAAACGCTTTTCTGCTGTTTGCTGTCTGTGAGCACATTAACACGGGACTCCTTCCCCGATCTGTTTCCAGACCGACTGTCCGCTGTTCTGCTCTCTGTCTCCACACATGTTCACTATACGGTACCGCATGTTCACTACAACACTAGTACTATATTTTCACTACAACACTAGTACTACGTGTTGACTGCAACACTAGTACTACGTGTTCACTACATCACTAGTACTATATGTTCACTATAACACTAGTACTGCGTGTTCACTACAACACCAGTAGTACATGTTCACTACAACACTAGTACTATATGTTCACTACAACACTAGTAGTACATGTTCACTACAACACTAGTACTATATGTTCACTACAACACTAGTACTATATTTTCACTACAACACTAGTAGTACATGTTCTCTACAACACTAGTAGCAGGTAGATCAGTAAAAATTGTGTGAAAATGTTCCTACCCGTCTAAATAGCCTA